CTCTCTTGACGTCGAATGGCCAGTTATCCAATTCGAAGAAAAATTCGACACGTTCTAGTAGAAGCAAATGAGCTTTGTTTAGTGCTAACCAATCAAACCCAGAAAAATTACACATAGCCTGGCCTATCTGTATCACGAACATCCGGGGCCAGACTTCTCCCTGTCCAGAAGATCAATAACTTGTACCTATGTGGCGTACACCTAACACGCCCTCTCCTGGATTAGCGTGGTTCACATTCGAATTGTACGCTGCTGACTTTCGGCTCCCGGTCTCATGTCGGAGTCGCGATCTCTGATTGGGTACACGATCTATGATTGGGATCGCAATCTCTGGTTAGGTACGCGATCTCTATTTAGGATCGCAATCTCAGCTGAGATCTGCCTTAGATTACGTAATCATTTTAGAGTGAACCACATTTGCCATCCTTGTTGCAAACGATCTCGCGGTCTGGCACGTTTTGGTACACGATCGTGAGACACCCGTCTTACCTCATATAATCCAATCAGAGCCACTTTCGGACTACACTGACGCTGATAATCCTTGTGCTCCCAAGACCAGCATAGCGATAAAATATTGACATCTCTTTACCGTACAAATTTGCATTATGTTTCATCTTGGATCTCCTCGGAAATTCTGTCTTAAGGTTCCCAGTGTTACCGCACAGGTAACACCGCTTAGGACCTTGCACATCGCGATGTTTCTTGACGTGTCCGATGCTCCGTAGATTATTAGCAATTCGGCTACGCTGACCACGTCTCGGCCGACATTTTTAACGCGATTTTCAAGCTGTGTTGACTGTGCGGATTGAGCGAGTTCTTCAGCTTGGCCCAGGTAATTCTCTCGCTTCAGAAACAGCCGGGATAACATTGTCGTTCGCATGGATGGTCTGTCAAATACGCGGAATGATAAGTTTAACTGAGCTGAAGAGACTTGACCACAGTAAACAATTTCGTGCTATAAGAAAGTAAGATGTTGGTGGTGAAGTTTGAAACACCCGTTGCATGGAATTCTCCAAGGCTGGACTCTCAAACCATCAAGATCCACTTGCCGGCGGTAGTCCTTCTGCGCCGTCCCAGCAAGATGTTGCCCAATGACGTCAACCTTGATGTCTTCTGGCCATATGAAGTCGCAGACGCGCTCGGATTTGTTGTCGAACAAAGTCCGTACCCCATTCGATAAAACCGATGCCAAGTCTATGGTACAGTTCCACCCCGTCAAAGGGTTGCAACGGAAACTTCCTTTGACGTCAATTCAGTACACACATGGAAATATGTTGTGGGTCGATGCAACATCGTATCTGGCATGTGAATTTCCGGAAATGTCCCCGCGGGCGCGTTTAGTCTGTGGAACGCAGGGTTATGTCCATGGACCCTTTCATAGTCGACACCGGGTTGAGGCGGTGTGTCGAACATGTGAACCCAGCGTTATCTGGTTGTCGTGCAGCGAAAATGTTGACAAAGAGACATTCGAAGAGCGGTTACGTGGCGAGGTACGCTCCAACGCCTGAAGTGTCACACCGGTATTTGATCCGAGAACCGAACCAAAAGTGCTCGACTCCGTAGAGTCCTCGCTTAGGCATCCAAATTGTCTAGTATGAGAATTTTACATCCTGCCTATCCGCTCCGACAAGTCGCCAAGTATGACGAATATATTGTGCCGCCGCTAGCACGGCCAAATTTATTTCAATTGGTGGGATCCAACCGTGCCCTGAGTGTCGACCACAACAGCAAGTTTAGCTTCTTGAGCTGCGCCGCCGGCGCACTCGGTTGGGCTCATGGCCTGCTAGAATAGAGTGTTTTTATTGCACTTGTGCAAAAGTAGCAGAAAGTAAAAGTGAAATGTATTGACTTTTTACTTCGTTCGCTTACACTACCCTGCGTGTCTTTGATCTACAGCGCAACTTGAAAAGGTCAAGTTGCAGATGACGCACGTCCAGTCCGTGTGTCACCGTGTCATGGTCCCACATGTCTTCCGTCTCTCCCCGCCCCACTGTCTTGATCTCCCGATCGTCCCACGTGACGTCTGTATCTCCGCGTCCCCCTATCAAATCATCAGAATAATAGCCAATTAGGTTTGGTCGGACCTTACCTGTAACAAGTCTTGGAGTTGACCATCCAACCTCGATGACCTGTGAGAAGTGATATATATTAACACCAAGTCTTGCAGTCGCGCCTCTGCAGCTATCGCTGTAGAACACGTGGACTGTTTATGCGATGGATCGAGTTGTAATGAGTGGATATAGCCACTGAGTGCTTTCTTCCCTAAAATTGACCTAATGGGTATCACTTAACGAATCTTTATCACCAATGTGACGATTTTTCGGGGAGGTGATACCACGGGGTCTGCTTGTTATACTTAAAATACGTGTTTGCATGCCAATGCGAATTTGATCATTACTGAGAACATTCGACTATGTAAGGTTAGAATGTCGGATGTGGTGTTTTTTGCAATTGCTTATTGTCAGCCATTATGTCAACAAACGAAGCGTTTAGTTATGGACGCGCGCAAATGTGTCAGGTAGGTAGGTAGCTTGAACTGAGTCAGTACAAGCGGAGAGTACCCCGAAACATGTGATGCCTGATCGTATACGACACAGTTCTCTTTTAACCTCAGACTAGCATGTCGCCTAGACCATTATCCTCCCTTACTAGTACATTACCTAAGGTTTTGCGCCACCATACTAAATTATTGTCGGTGTACGTTAGCCTGTACGATGTTCCGTAAAAGACTTACAACCGTCATTTTGCAAATGGTCCATTCAGAAATATAGAGGCTTCCTTTCCTGTACTCTTCATTGAGAATTATCCATCACCTCCTCTTTTTCCCAATGCTGGTCACTTTGATGAATTCATGTATTCCCCATCAGGAAGTGCTTCGAAGCATTTGTTTTATCTAAAATATTGAAGAAAATTTTCGCACATCAAACGTCTTACCGATCAAAAACTCGGCTTGAAATTAGGCACGTCGTGCCTGCACTGCACGGAGCGCAAGTGGCATCATAATATCATTGTAAGTTACCAGATTTGACACATCACGCGCTACGTGTATAAGCCGTTCAATGATGAGTCCAACCGGAATTTAGTGGGGAACTATGTCTTTCATATACCTTATCTCGTCAGCAAATATCACATCTCAAGCTTCTGTTTAAGGCTATAGAATACAACATGTACAGTAACTATGTTACCCACGCCTTGCGTATCCGTTCTTAATTGGTGGAAAGTAGGTTAGTGTCATTGCCGATGCCAACTCGTGTGTAGTGTCATCGTGTGTTTACTTAATGTCACCTACCAAAATTGCATTACGGACTTTTGTTAAAAACTATCTACTCGGTTCATCTTTACGTGATATTACACACGTCAATATCTTGAAACGGCCACCCGATTCCATGTGTGCTTATGACATAAGTATACGTCGTATCGAGTTGCCACAACTTATTGCTGCACCATGAATGAATAGCACCATCCAGGTCAATCAGCATATACAATTTATCTAGAGAGCGTGCTCATCATATCAAGCCATGTTCGCGCAATTGTTTTCGTAGATCGTTTGCATATTCATGGAAATTATGATTCACCTCACTGGCTGCTCAAACCGTGTTCCTCGTGCTTTGGCTGGTAGCGGTAACCACCACAAGTAAATGATCTCTCGTTTACCTTGTGACGAGCCACACTTCTTACCATATTGCTGGTAGGACCTTGTATCGTAACAGTAGAAGGTGTGCGCTTTGAAAGCGTCACGTACACAGTGTGTGCAGAGAAAGTCAAGATGCGGAGCAAGAGTTGCTCAGAAGGGAAGACAAGTTGATCTGTATATTTGATTAAAAAGGCCTTCAATATCAAACCTGCTTTATCTTACTTACACTATGTTGAGCTACAAATCTTTAATGTGGAATATCACGCATTACTCATTGCGCGCATCTAGCAGCAGCAGCGGTTGGTGGTTTATTCGGTTGATGTCATGGCCTATATGGACCAACTCTGTGCCGCAAAGTCGCATATTACCCCTAAGGGTAATATTTAACATGCTCAACTCGCACGAATAATATTTGCAAAAGATTATGAATTAATCTGATATTTACATTGGCACAATTCTTGACAATGACATATAAAGGCTCACCCCGTTACATATCTGGTAAGCTAGAACAAAGGCTTGCTCAGCTACGGACTCGTAATCGAGGACAAATAAGGACACAACTAGTCCTCCTAGCCTTGATACAAGAGGACGAAACGACTTGTCACTTTTCATTGTTCTTTTCGTCTAGACTTACATTAACTTCGACATCTACAGTAGACAGATGACCCCGATGTGACAAGCTTACCGCAAATATACCTCAAATGAGAGTAAACAACAGGTATCGATCAGTCTCTCATGCTTAGCACGTCGGTGCCAGTAACAGCTCGTGATACACTATCTCGATGTTGCAACTTGCGTTGTCTTGCGTGTACGCTGACTGCACCAAAGTGTGTCATTGTTCACACCAGGAAACGCGTACGAGTACTAAAAGACGAGCGCATTTGTATGCCACATACCAGCTGATCGTTATCTGTTCTTCTCAGCGTCATGTGCACTTTAATGATGGCCCACTGTTCATTTCAATCGCGTCAAAGACAAGGGCGGTGGTCCGGGATGTCATCTCTAGCTAAACTAGAAACAATCGATGTCAAGGCTTAATCCACCAACTTTTTTACGAGGCATCACGTTACCGGACGTGAGGCCCTTTAACCGGAGCTTTTCGCCCGCCACGAAATACCTCCATACCTGCGCTGCTTTACACTAGATATGACACCGAGCGACCAAGCCGGTACTTACAAGCTCCAGCGGTTTTATTATGGATTGTCATTTCTGGATTTGTGACCGCAGCGTCGGTCGATATCGGCTTTACGACATACACGTTAATGGCCCGAAGCAACTGGCTGTCAACATATCCGAATGCGGTCGTAGAGTTAGCACAAAGGACCTGTAAAAGTCAATCAATTCGCTTACTTGCGTCCAATTGGCCATGCGACGCTGGGCGACAGCACTCCGTGGCCTCGCGGTCAGTAGCCTCTTCCTCGAGGGAGACAGCAGCAGCAGCGATCATACGCTCGCACTATGGCCGCAGGAGATCGATGCAGCGCTGTCACTGTCATTGCATCCGAGTATGTGTATGATGAGTTGGCGTCGCTCACCTCTTCACTCTCTCATTGTTCAAGCGATCAGTGAGTGGGACACGTACTGATGATTGCGTTTGTGAGCTTCTCTAGATGGCTCGTCCATTGTCAAAGCCTCGCACGGAGGAGGTCTCTTCACTTACGATGCAAAAGTTGACGTCCAGTCTGAGGTGCGTTTCCGACACTCTTTCTGGACCATAGAATGAACGGGCGTTGCAATGTGGTGGCGACTCACGTGTGTATCGGTGATCAGATACCTTTGGACCCCCTTCTCGAGTCGATCGAGGTAAGAAGCTTTCACCTCGCACGTGAAATGCAGCGAGGTTGACGAGTCTTTTCTTGCTGCTCTAGATCATGTGGATTCCAGCGACTGACGTCCAGAGTTCGACGTTTGATCGCTTTTGGGTACATTCGATACGATTGGACGGGATGAGTGCAGTGGGTATACGCCTACAAACCACGCTGAGGGCGGGAAATTCGTGGAGCTCTATTACTGCAGAGCATACTGAAAGAGTCGAGGAAAACATCCGTGGAGTTTTACGCGCCGTTCTACCCTCGGTCGAAATTCTTCCTGGTTTGTCCAAAGGTGCGGTCGGTGTCGCTAAGAGAGTATGGTATACACATGTTGCAACAAGCGACTGACCTATCATTTGCTGTAGGATTTTTGGCAAAGTCGCTGTGCAGTTTCTGGTCCTGGAAAACAAGAAATCCGCTTCAAGAGACACTCAACGGGTCTGGAACCGACTCACCGATTCTTTGCTACACTTCGTCCTTTCCGTTGTCTCTGCACAACGAAGGCTCAGCATACCCTGGCAAAGCCATACGTGAGGCTAGCGGTAGCCTGGTTGACTCACTGACGTCGGTTGAAGTTGCACTGCTCAAAATCCACCAAGTAAAGCAGTCCATCAACGCAGAGGAACACTCACCCCGATCGACTGCGATAAAGCTTAGTCGTAGCTCAGGTTCTCCAGCGACCATTGAGGCAGAGGTTTTTGAGGTATGGATATCGCCATTATCCAAAGCGAATGAACCCTGGAAGACCGCACTTCCAGCGTGCGGGACCGAAATCGGTATCTTGGTAGTGACATCAATCGATCGTGCGTCGGATCTTGATCGACTTACGTGTGATTGGATCTGCACGAGGGGCGAGCGGGACACGTCAGGAGTTGTTCGATCCGTGGTGGAAATGCAAGTGCCAAAAACAGCGGTGGCTGCCTCGCTGCAGACCGCTATCAAAGGGAAAGGTTTCCATCGCCAGCATGTAATAGATGTGAAGCTTCTTGAAAACAGCAGTTGCGGTGCGAACGCCGTCAACAAAACCATACTCGTGCGTGTGTCGATTTCAAGCACCGCCTATGTCGACTTGGACGAAATACGGGTGAGTCCGAGTTTGTCATCATTGTTTAAAGCGCTTTCTAACGTCCGTGCGTGTGCGCACTGATTTTTTGTCGCAGAGAATGGCACGCTTTGGTGATCTCGAACTTCTGTCCTTTGCAAAGCATATCGACATCGAGCGGCCGTCGCCAATTTCATCGCAGCACGTTGTTGGACTAACGTTTACTATGTTCGTCTCTATCGTTCTTTGGTTCGCTCTGACTGATGAACACTTTCTGTGGCTCACGAACTTCTGGTTTATGATTTTGCCTCAGGCCATCAACTGGCCACGTTCATATCGACTTTCCGCTTCACTTCCGGTATCAAGCTCCATCCGAGAACGAGCTGTACCGCCGCGCGTTCGTCATTGCTCCTGATGTATATATGTTCTGTCCAGAAGGCGATCGTTCCGTCAAGAGAGAGCTGAAACCGTCGAAAACCGATGCCACGCACAACTACCTCCATGTGAGCAAACTCGTTTCTTATGGTGAGTGGGATTGCTGTACATTGACTTACCTGTGTGACCGATAGACGTGGGGACTGCTTGGACTACCTGACTCAGCAATCGCCAACCACTACTGGCTGCATTTGTCGACGAAACTTCCACGTCCAGTAGCGGAAGTATCCATACCTGTCGGCTACCTGCCGTCAGATTGGCTTGTAAGCTCTGTTACTCTACTGTTTGCTAGCATCGGCGCAGCGCTGCTTTGCTACGTTTCAGTTGGCGCAAGTGCACGAGCTCAGGGCCACGTTGCGAGCAAATGGAAAGGGAAAACAGACTGAACAGACGTAGTCAGCTAAGCGCGTCTACGGCAGCACGTTGTCATGTCTTCTGCGCAAACGCTCGTGTTGCTATCACCATGTATACGTACGTATGCACACATGGATACCTGTCGCGCTGTGCTCGCCTTGATAAATGAAATAATTAGCCGTGCGTCACCACATGACGCTGCGTTCTGAGCTGCTCAGCAGCTGTAGTTTTCCTCCGTAAGCAGGCGTAGCGTGAGTGTTGCGTGATCCAGCACAGTGACAGTGTATCGGTTCATACGTCGAGTCTGCAAGTCGCGCGTGATTGGCGTCGGTGGAAACGACCCCGGGGTGACTGCATCATCCATGTAGTAGTTCTCCATGTCTCGGTCTTCGTCCTCGCATCCGCCGAGGGTGACGGTGGCGCGAAAGAGATTCGCGGCTACGTTCGAGTGCATCATCTTGGCCATGCGACGCGACATCTCCGACGGCATGGACGAGTCCTGCTCCATGTACTCGACCGCCCAGCCCGGTTCAAACACCTCGTCGCTTCTTCGTCGGCCAGTCTCACCTCTTCGGCCTTCCGCCTCGTAGTCAGCATCCCCCTGTAGACAGCGCGCAGCTCCACTGTGCTGCACGAGTCGATGGCTCGAATCCAGAAGATCCACTGGCGACGTACACGGCGTTTGTGTCTGCCCCTTCTCGGTCGCGTCCGCGGCAAAGAACATCCGCTGGAGTCCAGCAAACAGGCGCTGGTAGAACCGCTGGACAAGATGCTGCTCCCGGTCCTGCTCGTGGTCGTCATTGGAGTACGTACAGCAGTCATCCCCCCGACTGAGACAATGTCTCTCGTGTGGCGCCTCGTCGAGCGGTTCGTTGGCCACGAGCGACGTCCAGAAGTCCGTGAACTGGTCGTCCGAGAGCGCAATGACCGACTCGGCGACGCGGTCGAGCGAGTCCAAAGCGGCAACGGGCAGTCGCGTCTGGAGCGCCACGTACCACTGGACCACCGACGAGGCGCAGTACTTGGCACAGCTCCGGTCGACCTGGTAGAGCACAAACGCCAACGTGCGCAAGAGCGACTTTTCGACCGCGAGGACAACGGCCATTGCGCCACTGGGGGCGCCATGGGCAGCACTCGCTCGAGCGGACGAGGGGGACGGCAGTGGGGGGACGGCGCTGGGGCCGTGGCAAACGGCCGTGGCGCTGGGCATAGGCGTGCGCAGAGAGGGCCCGCGGCGGTGTCGGCGCTCGGGAGCTCTTGAAGGTGAGGGCCTGAGGCTGAAAGTGGCGAGCGGTCTGTGCTCGGGCGCCCTTCGAGCAACACGTACGAACGGTCGGACGTGGCGCAGCTGACGTTATTGTTCGCTTTTTGCGGCTTGCGTCGCTGAGTGAGTACAGGATAGGGGGACGATGGAGGGGGCAGAAAGGGACGGCTTGGCTCTGGCTGGGAAAGGGACGTGGCGACTTTACGGCTTACATCGTGGTGCGGTGTCTGTCGATGCTTTCGAACCGTATCATGTTGGACCACGTCGCACATCGAAAGTCTGCTGGAAGACTCAGAACTGGTCGACCAGCGCTGTTTCTGAGGACAGGACCCGCGGGTCAACCCGTTGTGCGGAGTCTTGCATTGCATTGGTCCATCCATCCAGCCGGCCAGCGAAAATCCATGCATTTATCCCAACTTGCCGTCGTTTTTCCTCCTTTATCCATCGCTTGGACCGTACCCAGCTTTTATCCACAGCCTCCCTCATTTATCCACTACTTTTGACGACCACATACATACTGCATCTTAACTCTCCATCGATCACACAGAAGCAGTGATGATCGTCCAGAGTCCCGCCGCCGTCCGCTCGCTGTTCTCCAGCGCTGTGTCCACTTCGCGCCCTGCGCAGTCGCTATCCGATGCTGATGAAGCGTACAGTGCGTCCAGTGTCTTCGCCTTCGTGGGGCGCGTCGCTGACTGTCCCCTATAGCTCCTCCTCGAGCGGGCAGAGCGTATTTGCCACGAGGTTTCAGGCGCACACGTTTGCATCGGTCCCCAGTCGTGATGAGGAGCTACTGAGCAGCGGCAAGAGCAAGAACGAGCAGATTCAGGCGCTGCTGGAGGAGAACGCGGCCCTGAAAAAGGAGATCGAGACACTGAAGACGGAAGCAGCCAAGAAACCCGGCAAGTTCTTGGGCACACTGCAGCAGTACGGTCTCCCGTTTGTCGTGTGGTGGACGTCCCTCTACCTCGCGTCTGGCGTGTCCATTTACGTGGCCCTGGACACTGGTGTCGTTTCAGGTGCCAGCGTTATCGACTTTATTATGCAAGTGGGTTTGGACAAGTTCATTGACCCGGAACGACTCGACCCGACGTACGGGAACATTGCCATTGCAGTGATTGTGAACGAGTGCCTTGAGGTCGTTCGCTTTCCGATTACGCTGGCAACGCTGCCCTACGTGAAGCGCGTCTTCTCCCGCAAGAAAAATGAAGAAGTCAAGTAAGGCAATGGACTGCCGCCTCCTGTGTGGAGTGCGAGCATCTTGTAGACAGACGCGCGGAGAGAGGAGGGTGCTTTTGGGACCACGCCAGTAAACGATGAGATGTTGAGGGGCTTTTGCAGGTTTTACCGGAAGAAAATAGACCCATCGTATTGTCTTGTTTCAGATCGGATAGGACCTAATCGTCAGTGCTTGCTGGAGTCGTCTTTGATAGAGCCGTTTACGCGTGATGATCATCCATCCGAGTGCGATGATGTTGACGCCTACCGCTTGTATCGGGGGAGCTTGTTACATGTCATTGGCACGAATTGTATGAACATATATAGTCTCAAATAGCTAATATTCAACAATATTACCCTTGCGAGTCAATCTTGTTGGAATATTACCATTACATGTAATATTTGGCATGGTATCACATTTGGTTGATGTAGGCCATGATACCAACCGAGTAAACCAGCAATCAATGCTCGACGCGCGCAACGGGTGATGAGAAGACGATACAAGGCATGTTCAGAAAGTAATTTTATGAGCTAAGTTCGGATCATTGAGAAAAAGAGGATTTGGGGACTTGAGTATATTTGATACAGGTTTACTTTTACCACTTCCAAGTTCCACCGTCTTTTATATTTAGCCTATCTCTATATTGTGTAAGTGAGGTGACGCGGCACTGACAACCTCCACTGTCAGTTAAATTTGCTCCGTAATTTCCATCAGTATGTGACTACCGGTGCCCCGTTACACCTGGTAGACACGTTGTTAGTCCTTCCAAGGGACCGCACAAGTCGCTTGACCTGTTCATGTTGGGCGGTGGTGGCGACAGAGTTCACGCCACGCGTG